GGTGGGCCTGTAAGGAAGACCCGGTATTTTGTACTTTCCGCGTTCGCCCACGAACGCAGCATTCTGATTGGCTGTTTGCTGTTGGATTCTATAATTAGATCAGTGATATAGTGATATATTAAGCTTAAAATTCGACAATTGATCACTTTTTTCGATTGAAAATGGAACAAGAACAGACTGTTTATTGTTTACTTGAAGGAAGAGATGTTTTTGCCGTTATGCCAATGGGGATTGCTTGTCGTGAAGTGTTGGAATAGCAACATTACGACCGGGGTAAACTATAGTAACCTTTACTTGAGTTGCATTAATTTCAAACAGACTTGATACGTTATATGTTCCTCAAGAAAATTATCTTTTGCATGGTTGATGTTGACTCTGTTCTTCGCAATAATTTATTTGAAGAAGTTTGTTTTGGCTGTCGTCGTCGCGTTGCTGTCGTACATGCTTAAGGTCCCTACTCACAACCTGATGATTCCTATACGGAAGAAACAGACTGTTGTGGTTTTTTGAGGTAAAACGAAAAACTATATTACGCTCTATATCTAATGGTATTGAGCACTGTTTGTGTTTCGTAAATCAAAAACTTAAGCTATAACTTAAGCGTCGATTCCCTCGTGTATATATGTATATATATATATATATATATATATATATATATATATATATATATATATATATATATATATATATATATATATACTGTATATATATACTGTATATATATACTGTATATATAGTTCAATTACAAAGTAGGCCAACAATGGTAATTGATAATGGCTATGTCTCTGAATGTTAAAATCGCCATGTATCCCCACTGAGGTGATTAGTTGTCGTAGAACGTCAGTCAGGTTTGCTTAACATGATTCATGCAGATTCAACTCATGCAGGCATGATACAATAATTCTCTTGCTCCTTATTTAAGAATGTTCCCTTCTGCCTTCTCCTTCGATATAATAAAACAATTTCTTGACCTTGTGTTTTAGTTGTGCTAAATTAGCTAAAAGCTTCGGTTATCGTTATATTGGTATCCAATCATATGGTGAATGCTGGTCAGGTGATCCAACAGCAGATTTGTTTAAATATCGAGCAATCAATCCACACAAATGCTGGGGTTTTAAACCCCATTATTCAAAATGTGATGATGAAGCAGAGACAGAATGCACAGGAACCCCAGAGTATAATTATATCTACGAACTTTACCTTACTGGTAGCAAAGGTAGGTACAGATTTGCACTGTACTTTTCAATAATAATAAAATACATGGTGAAGGGGATCTGGGTCGTAGACATTGTGTAGAATTTCCAAAGTAGAGCGGTCAACAAGTTTTCCTAAGGATGATTGGTTACTTATAATTAGCCTTTTGTGATTGGTATAAGCGCGCATTCGCTACACCCTTGGTATATCTTTGGTGAACACCGTTAAGTTTTGAAGGAAAGGCAAAACGAGCTGCTTCGACCATTATCTTATTAATTGGAATTTTCAGGGTGCCCAGGAGAAAATGCAATAGACATGCATGTTCCAGATTTTTACACAGCTAATTATTATACTATTAGTGGGTATATCGAAAATTGAATCTATAAAGATATGAATTTTGATATAAGATTAATAAAATTCACTTGTAGAACCAATGTTATGGCTGTTTAAAATAAAGTATGGTCCACCCAACGCCAATGGACCAATCCATCAAACCGGGGGACCATTTTTACGCGCTGGTCGCGGAAACTAATTAACAAAATGAAAAGAACTTCCAAAATGACCTGATGTGAGCAGTTGCTCGCGCCATATCACGCCATTGTGCGTGTTCTATAGCGTTTTATGTCACTGAATTGCTGACGTCATTAGAATTTTCTATTTTAGAAAAACAATGCGCTATATCTCTTTATTTTGTCTGGTGACCTATGTTCAAATTTTGCATGCTGTATTGCACCGCTAAAAACTTTAATTATACAAAAAATAAAAAATTCTGTAATGCCAAAAAATTTTTACCGAAGAATATAACATTTTCGCATTTTCTAAAAAAATGGCACTACAAAATTTTTTTATATTTTGCTAAAGGTTAGCTTTTCGTCCAAGTAAAATAGTGCACGAAAAAAAATTGGGGGTCACCATCATAGTCACCATGCTTCTTTTCCAACTATACGAGGCGATAGACCATTTTGGAGTGAATTTCGTACACGTATGTCGTCATAGCAACGAACTATATCTGTTACTAAAACTAATATAGCCTATAATTTGAAAGTAGAGTTATCAAAATATATAAAAATCCTAATATCTGCTGAATAAATCCTAAAATGCGTAGTTTGAACATGTCAAAGTGTTGAACCAGTGGCGTAACATTATATCAGGGGGCCTCCGGTTCAAAATTTTCGAAGGCCCCCCTGGTATAAGTGCCAAAAGCACGTGTCGACCGCCGTATATACACAAGTTATTTAGGAGGTCTAGTGTATGTTCACCCAGAAAGTTTTTGAATCTAGAGTCTCTGAAATGCCATTTCCCGGACTTTGGGGAGAGATTTTATACAGAATTCTGATGGAGTGATGATCAGAAAACGACATTGTAACACATCAGAGGTCCCGGTCACTACAGCCTGTGGAGGCCCCCATTTGGCCCATTGGGGTTGGGGCCCCCGGGCTCTCCCGGTCCGAGCCCATAGAGTTATGCCACTGTGTTGAACACTTGAATTTTTGAAAACTGTATCGAGACACCTTAAAATCTAGCAAAAATATAATGCTATATGTTATCTGGCAAATAATAACATTCCATTTTTATTTGTTTTATTTTATTTTATTTTAGAATCGCCATGTTCGTCTTTGCCATGTTATAATGGAGGAAATTGTACTGAAGTTGGAGATTCTTTCGTTTGTAAATGTGCTTGTGGATACAAGGGACAACAATGTGAAATGAAAGGTATACGTATAACTTCCTGTTTGAAATTATTTAAAGAATTATTATTTTAAAGCGCCTTACTTTGCACCAGACTAATCTCATGGCTCCCCTACGTAACAATTTGGTAAAGTGCTATTTTTAAAACATTTAAAAATGTTTTAAAATTAGAATGTCTTATAAATTATAACTTTATAACTGTTTATGTGATTTGGTGTCCAAGCCAAATCCACTCATTTACCTTTTTCAACCTATATAGTATTAAATATTATAAAGTAATCACTTTCTGGAACCTTTTTGGTAAAGGATAACAAAATATGAATATATATATATATATATATATATATATATATATATATATATATATATATATATATATATATATATATACAGGGTGTATCAAAAAAAGCGCAATCCTCGACTGAAATGTAAATTGCTAAACAAATAATAGATGAAAACGTTAAAGTTTACATTCATTTAAAAGCGTAGCCATTCAGCTTTCTAACAGTGGGTTGTTTCTTAAATTTGACTCATTGGTTCGCGGCTAATAATACTTTACGTTATTGCGATTGGAGATTAAAAAAATTGAGATGGAATAACAAATCGTTCTCATGAAAATAACTGATTTTTTCATTAAAACAAAAAAATGTTGCATTTTATTAAATGGATTGTAACAATAAGTATAATTACGGCTTTTCTTCCACTATTTTTAACTCAGTTTGAAACTTCAAATGCGATATAATTTTGGCTTGGACCATCTAAGCTGACTGACATCAACTTGCTATAATTTCTGTTTACATTACATCGCAATTCGATGACACTCTGGCTCAGACACCAGAATGTTTTGACGATTCTTAGCATTCGTTTAGGATTTTCAAACAACCTGGTCTCTTTTAAAATACTTCTAATTTGTTCTTACGTGGTTTTCCAGATGTAGTGACGACAACATTAAAGTTTAAAGAAGAAAATTCTAACATTTAAACCGACTAAACAATAACATAGTAAACTTGCATAATTAAACAGCAACTAAAAATGATAAGTTTTACTAAATCTTTTCCTGTGCAATTATTACTAGCATTGGAGACAAGGATAATAGTTTGTTTGAAAGAGAAAAGAACAGGCTTTGAAGTAAGCCTAAAAGAGTTTAACTAAAAATAGTATTTGGAAAGTTATTAAGCACAAAAGATGAATTGCGTTTATTTTGATACACCCTGTATATATATATATATATATATATATATATATATATATATATATATATATATATATATATATATATATATATATATATATATATATATATATATATATATATATATATATATATATATATATATATATATATAGTGATCATGGTTGACCATACCAACAAAAATATTTCTATAAAGTCGTAAATTTTAAAGTGAAGTATGAAATTTGAAACAATTAACTTCATTTGAACACAAATAATTTGAAATTTTACTTTTTATTATTTTAACAGTAGGGTTGAGTGATTCGACGAGACAATGTCATTGCATGGATGAGTTATATTATATCAAAAGTTAATTGTTTTCGCTGTTACTGTGCACAAGTTTATGCGGTGAAAATAAAAATATGGAACAAATTTTCCGGCCCATTCGATTGATTATGGATTGATTGACCATGTCCATGTTTCCTTTACCGCTCTCCTTACCAGATAAAATATAATATTCTTACTTTGGTTTTCATTTTCAAGTATCACCATGTGCCTCAGCCCCATGTATGAACAATGGTAATTGTACAAATGTTGGAAATTCGTTCCTATGTAAATGTCCATGTGGCTTCAAGGGAACACGTTGCGAGAAAGATGGTTTGTATAATTTTATTTGAAACAAATACAGCAAGGGCGATCTTGTTGTAAACAATATATATAACATTATATATATATATATATATATATATATATATATATATATATATATATATATATATATATATATATATATATATATATATATATATATATATATATATATATATATATATAGATATATATAGTTTTTCGTTTTACCTCAAAAAACCACAACAGTCTGTTTCATCCGTATAGGAATCATCAGGTGGTGAATAATTTCGAAATTGTAGGTTGCTTTTATGCTATCGAAAGAATGTGCGGAATGCGTGTAGGCGAAACAATGCTTTGGTGAAACAATGCATGCTTGGGTCATTAGGTTTTGTTAACGACCTTGTTTACTCGAAACCGGTTTTTGTGACGACATTTGCCGAAAATTTCGCTTCTTTTATTGAGTAAATTGTCTGTGTTTAATGTCTTTCAAAATGCAAAATTTTTCTTCCAAACATAAATTGCAGCGTTTTGACCCCCCTGTGTACGAAATAGCGTGTTTTAAAATTGACCATTTGATGGTATAATCTTGATTGTTTTCTTTCAATTTCCAAATATGTTTCGAAAGTTCCGTTTTGTTTGAGTCTTTTTTATGACGAAAAGATGAAGTGTGGTTAGCGTAACGTTCCTTAAATGTAGTCGCTGTCATACCAATGTAGTGTTTAGTGTCGTTCGTGTTACGTTGTTCGTTGTGACTGTTGCTTTGTAAATAATGTTGTTGGTCATGCATTGTTTCGGTAGTGGGCAAGTGTTTTTGTTGTCGCAGTTACAGTTGTCAGTTTCCGTATTCTGTGATTGACTGTTCCTAATTATATGTGCGTTGTGTTTGGTGATAATAGACTTAACGTTGTTCATGCAACTGCATGTAGCTTACTTTTAAAGTGTTTCTGTTGAAAATCTTGTGTAGTTTGTGCTGTAGTGGGAAGTGTTTGTCAATTAAACTTAAGAATTCCCGTCCTATGTTCGTGTTAACACTCTTACTAAATGGTGGGTTGAACCAAATTATGTTGCGTTGCCTATTCCTACGTGTCCGTTGCGGTGCATCCTGAGTGTACGTAAATTCATGATCAAAGTTACTATGTGTAAGAGCGTTGTCCTGGGCTTCGGATTTGACTACTATTACCGAAAACGATATTTCAATAATAAAACATGCAAGAAAATCTCTACTTTTCGGCAACGGCAAATTATGGACAAAAAAAGACGGAAGCAACAGTTTATTTGACGTCACTACGGGTAGTTTCGACGGCGCTGAAATTTGTGAGCTGGTAGGCCTTTTCATTTTAAATCACTTAGGTAAGAGGTTTGGCAAGGAAAACATCGGACTTTATAGAGATGATGGTTTGGCTATTATAAAAAACAAATCCGCCCGTTTACTAGACAAAACTAGAAAAGAGCTACACAAAATTTTCGAGCAATTTGACCTTAAAATCACCGCCGAAGTAAATATGAACGTTGTAAATTTTTTAGATGTTACTTTCGACCTGATCAACGCAAAACACAAACCATACAGGAAACCCAATGACGATCCATTGTACATCCACAGACACTCAAACCATCCACCAAGCATTACAAGACAATTACCTACAGCTATCAACAAACGCATTGCACTTCTCTCATCGGACGAACAAACATTTAAGGAATCCACACCTATTTACCAGAACGCTCTTACACATAGTAACTTTGATCATGAATTTACGTACACTCAGGATGCACCGCAACGGACACGTAGGAATAGGCAACGCAACATAATTTGGTTCAACCCACCATTTAGTAAGAGTGTTAACACGAACATAGGACGGGAATTCTTAAGTTTAATTGACAAACACTTCCCACTACAGCACAAACTACACAAGATTTTCAACAGAAACACTTTAAAAGTAAGCTACAGTTGCATGAACAACGTTAAGTCTATAATCACCAAACACAACGCACATATAATTAGGAACAGTCAATCACAGAATACGGAAACTGACAACTGTAACTGCGACAACAAAAACACTTGCCCACTACCGAAACAATGCATGACCAACAACATTATTTACAAAGCAACAGTCACAACGAACAACACGAACGACACTAAACACTACATTGGTATGACAGCGACTACATTTAAGGAACGTTACGCTAACCACACTTCATCTTTTCGTCATAAAAAAGACTCAAACAAAACGGAACTTTCGAAACATATTTGGAAATTAAAAGAAAACAATCAGGATTATATCATCAAATGGTCAATTTTAAAACACGCTATTTCGTACACAGGGGGATCAAAACGCTGCAATTTATGTTTGGAAGAAAAATTTTGAACATTCGAACATTCTTTCGAACAAGCAACCTACAATTTCGAAATTATTCACCACCTGATGATTCCTATACGGATGAAACAGACTGTTGTGGTTTTTTGAGGTAAAACGAAAAACTATATATATATATATATATATGATATAAGTTGATCAACTTCAATCGCCTGAAGATCGCTTCGAAAGAAGCGTGAAATACAGTGTAGCGACAAATATATTTTAAGATTAAAGAATTATTTAAGCTCTATCGTATATTAGTATTGAGCACTCTTCGTTCAATTACGGACAACAAGAATTAATTATATATATATATATATATATATATATATATATATATATATATTAGCTTGTGATTCTTCTTGATGTGAACGCTCGTATTCTTCAATAATTCTTAAGGCATGAATATTTTTTGGCTTGTTTTCCTTTATGTAAATCATTATCCGATTTACAAGCTATATCTTTTTCTAATATTTTTAAAACGTGTTATTATAAACGTTTAGGACTTTTTTAAACGTGCATGTGTATGGTGTATTTAATTTTTTCCTCAAAAATCTTAGTCATTTTGAACTTAAATAATTTTAATATTATTTCAGTGCGTCCATGTGCTTCATCACCGTGCGTAAATGGTGGAGAATGTAAAAATCTTAAAAAATCTTACCAATGTAAATGTCCAGCTGGACACAAAGGAAAAAGATGTCAGATTAAAGGTAAGTTTAATGTATATGTGACATTGGACAACTTGATTTATACAATTGCAAGTGGAATAATTTATTTATTGTACAAATGAAAGCAACGGCGTTATTGTTTACTAACAAATGAACATTTTAAGAAGCCCACGAGATTATCATTAATTGGACCATGCATAATTTATAATTATATGTTTATTGGAAAATTTATAATTCAGTAAGCCAATCATGCAATTGTAAAGAAAATATGATCTGGCAAATTGAGCAAAATAAGTCAAATCTTTGTGTCCATACTCTTGCCGACTTGACTGCCTAGGCTAAATAATTTTTCAAAAAATTATGGGCATATTAGGAACAAGGTTTCTGCGGTGAAACTTGGTGAAAATGCCAACAAAATTCACTTTGAAGCGACAGGGAAACCAAGGTAAATTCGTACATTGTAGCCTATTGGTTCATGATGTTTGAAAGCACAAAACTCTCTGTATAAAGTATCAATTATACTAATAAATCCTATATTATTACACGGTGTGGCCACTAAATGCCTTCTGATTGGCCACTAGCTCATGCACAGCTATAAATAAGCAGTAAACACTGTTATCTGTAGGTTGAGCCAGTTGTATCTAATTTTAAATAGCAAGCGGTAGTCTTAAATACAATACGTTTTATTGAAAGATCTTTTTGGCATTTAATTTTACTAATATTTGACATTTTATGCTGTTATTGTGATATTTTAAATCGTTTTTAGCTACAACATTTTTTGAGAACAAATCATTGTTTGTCGAAAGAGTTAATGAAAATGCAAGTGTATAATAAAACGGTTAGATGGAAAACACGGAGTCGGAGTTCCGGAGTCGGAGCCCCGGAGTCGGAGT